TTTAAATAAAAATACAATTTGGGAAAAGTGCAGATTGTTACAGATTGAACATGGACCTTTCCTTAACACTTTCATTGTCGGCATATTATCAGCAGAAGATCTCTTGTGTTTTTTTTTTATACATCTATAATACCAATGTCTATTATTAGGTAACGATAAACAACACATAAAATTTGGGAATTCTATAATATTTGATTTTGCACAGATCATACTACTTCAAACAACCGAAATTGAGCCAAAACATTATGAAAGTTTTGTTCGTATTATTCCTTAAATGACATAAATATGATCAAATACAGTCTTTGAAATGTTCAACTGTATAAAAACATAATTGACTTCTTGGAGTCTAATTTGGAACTAAGTATGTGCCCAATTCGTTATCCATTGACCACGCTTATGTCTGTTCTACCTGACAGTATAGTGTATATTTGTTACGGTTGTCATTCACATACGGTAAGAAATTGTACTTATTTAGTAAATTTACATCTTAACTTCTTTACAATTAACGTGAAACATCAAGTTTGCTTAATGAAAACGAAGTATCATGACAAAAAAAAACACTTTTTATGGACGTTTTCTTTGTAGTTATTAACGTATTCCATATTGTATCTTGTCCTGTAAATGTCTTTTGATCACAAGTAAGCTGTCCTGTTAGAAAAACAATTCCCTCGATAAGGTTTGCATTTGGCATGATGACTTGTTCAAAGCGTTGCACTCTGTATCCTTCAATGTACAAACATGTTAATGATCTGTACTTGTTAATGATGTACTTTAGTGAACATGCAATCCCTACATCAATGAAAATAATTGTATAAAAGATATTTCTTTATTTATATGCAAGTTTGCATTACAGAAAATACAGTAAAAGTTTATTCCCTTTTTAAAATGACATGGATTTGTTGTTGCAGATGAGACAACGACATTGATGTTTTTGTCAGAAGGAGCAGGTGTTAATTTCTTAAACACGTGGACGGGAACAGCTTTAAATGACCCTGCAAATGACAAACATACCTGGAGTACGACATCACTGATATCTACAGGAAATTTCCGGAGTGCCAATGTTGATGCATGGACATCACTTAACGCTCCTGTTGAAGTAAGTTATTATTGAAGAATACATATATTCTTGTTGAAAGAAATGGATTGTATGTTGAGGGAGAGGACTTTTGTCGTCCAATCCTTTTGACAGTGTAACATTCTTCTATGTCAATAAAATTTGTTGAAATTGAAATTGTATTATGTAGCAAGTTTTTCATCTTATTATAGCCTCCTCGATTTCTAATAATATATATGAAAGAAAAATATCCAACTGAATTTATACAAGAACATCTTTAAAATTCATTTCCACTGATTATTTAATAGGAAATTAACCAGCACTCTATTTTTGAGACTAATATATCAAGTGGTTTTAAGCACTTTTTCAACAGTAGTTTAGACAGTTTTGATTTCCAACGTTTTAACCCCTATCATCACGTCCTACAAGGACGAAACAGCTGTATCATACAGTGTAAGTTATATGGTACCCGTTACCAAATTTTGAAGGGGCAATTACCTGTGTGTGTCTGACGTTCATCTTTGAAACACATATGTGTCCCAAACATTTGAGACGAGCCTATGCGTAACATAACAAAAAGCTTGTTTGTATTAGCTCACCTGGTCCAAAAGGTCCATGGTAAGCTTATGCCATACCGCAGCGTCTGTCGTCCATCCGTCAACCTTTCCTTCGAAACGCTACTTGTCCTGAAATAAATTTTGGTCAAGGGGACTCAATTTTGTATAAACGGTGGGTGGGGTCTCCAAGGGGACAGAAGGGCGGGGCCAATAGGGGAAATAGAATTAAACCTTTAAAACCGTCCTCTACCATAAGTATTAAGGGGTTTTATCCTTATTTAGTCTGGAGCACCGTTAGAAAACTGCGATGCCGTAATGCGGAAAAGGCGACTTGATGAAATTTAGACATTTTATGGTGTATTTACCATACACGTTAGAATGAAGAGATCACTTATTCTTCGCAAAAGTTTTTTGGAAATATGGGGTATGCTTTATATAGCCGATAGATTTGTTTTTCGTCAAAAAGCTCTGGGGAATTTCCCCGAAAAGTTGACATTTTCAAAATGGTAGCCAGTCCAAATTCTTATCCTGGTACATATGTAGTTGGAATGAGATAAAAATAGTATCTGGTTTCACCAAATCTGAAAACCCCTCTGGTGGAATTTCCCTATCCTTAACTAGTTGGCATGCAATTGTCTTATATTCTTCATCATGAAAATCAACGTGATTTGTCTAACATGTTTTTGATTTGATGAATCATACTTTCCATTGTTTCTCCTCCTACAGAATTTGAATTTCTGCGCTTTTAATGAAAATTTCGATATATAGTAATTGGTCTCCTTTGTTCCGCAGAAGCACAAAATCTTGTATTTTGTGCGGACACCTACATTTTAACGATGTAGACATAGAGATTCATAGCGTTTGAGTAGCTTGTTTATGAATCTAAATAATCGTATTCTAATTATTTCACTCCTTAGCAAAATGGAAATAACATCTATTTTATCATGTATCATCAGAGCGATTTCGTGTCGCCGAGGCTTTTGTGGGATACCACCTGTCGCCAATGTGCTATGATAGAGCAGCTCCATGTTGGAAGTCAATAGTAATGGATCAATGCCACAGTTATTTAATAGACTTTTCGTGTTCAACACAACGCCATTAACCTACAAACGTCATTTTAACATGTGATTTACTTATGCATGACGATATCAGAACAACAGAGCGTGTCGTTTTAAATAAATTGGGAACTTGATGTCTTAAATAATAAAAGGAATCAGTTATGGACTCGATAGGTTAGCTGGTGTACCTACTGTGTATGTCGTGGTGTCCCCAGAGCGTGACAAATAGGAATCATACGGTCGTTCAATTGTTAATTAACTTTGTGCTACACTGCTTCAGTTCTTATTCTGCCAGGAAATTGGTATTCGGCCGCTTTCGACTTTATCAATTAACCTGGATACGTCATCCAGTGGCGTTGTCTATGCCACGCATGCTTGATGCCTGTTTTTCTTTGCTATAATATTGTTTTAGGAATCGAACTGATAAAATCAGAAATATTGATATTGCATGTCGATAGTTCCATAACGTACTCTAAACTGTACATTATCTTCCATTTTTGATACAGAATCATTAAAAGTGTTTATATTTATGATTGATTTGAGAATCAAAATCTAAGACAATCACACTTTAAATATCGTTCTAAACCTTGACCTCTATATAAGAGCAGCACTCGTTGTCCAATTGAAGAGTGAATTAATATTTATTATTTTGGTAAAAGGAGATTTGTTGGTTAAGCAAAGGCAGTTTTGTGATAGAATGTTTTAAAGAGATTAAAAACCAGATGAAACAACATATCTGCCTGCTATAAATTTCGCCAGAATTCTGATGTTTTCAGTGAGCTATAACAATTAAATAACATACCGACTTTCGAGTGTGTTGAATATTTGTCTATTCGGCTCCTTCATACTTATCATAGTCTATAATGCTACCATATACAAATATAACCGAAGCATGTTACTATGTCATACATCCATGTCATACATATGATATTACACAAATGTAATTATATATATAATAATTAAACTTAAAGGCTCTGCGATTGTTCAAAACCTTGGGAACATATTCCTTCGCCAATACAGGGAGTACTTTTATTTAACTGCAGTTTTTTCTGATAAAGTTTACTGTTTCCACTATCAAATAAATTTTAAACATTTATTTTCTCATTTTTATTTCCATTGCATTTTTATCGCATTTAAAACTGTTCCTTATTTTTAAACAAAATATCTGGAACTACTTTGCATTGCGCGGTTCGCTCAATACTATGATCTCGGTACTTTGGTTTTGCGTCAGCTGATAACAAATAATTGTGTTTGAAGTTTCTTTTTAAATTATGAAAGTTATGTGATATATAGAATCTGACATTCATGTCCGTATCATATAGAATATATTAAACTCAATTCAATACGAATGACATTGGCACTCATGTAAGATCCTGTATGTACTAAATGCAATTACACGTTTTTTTTATTCATATCATACCATGTCTGTCTACTGATACACAGGTTCAACTAAAAGCCTACAACAACCAAGGTGATGAGCTTTGGAATATTGTGTTTGATGGGAGCGGCTGTAACTTAGATGTCAGCTGCTGGATGGTACCGGGTAGGATACTGAGCTGCAAAAGTTCCACTACATCGTCTTCTACGGCAATAACCGTTTCGTATGTATTAGTTTATTATAAAGGTCTAGTGACGAAATTCATAAAAATCCTATCCATGATATATGAAACCTTTTATGAGTTGTATCATCAAAATTGATTAAATATTATTTAAAACTTGATTTCAATTATTTTACAACCATTATGAAACAGGTATTTCAACTTGTCTCAATCACGTTTGGTTTTTTTCTCAATAAATTAACTTTTTCCAGTAGAATATTCATTAGAAAATTGAATTATATTTTCTAAGCATGAAAAATGAAGGTTTGTGATACACGAATTACCGATTTTTGTGAAGATTCGTTATAATAATTACTGTGGGTATTGTTTTTATCAAAGTCTCAATTCCATGTGTACATGTTTCGAAATTCGAGTATTTTTCGTTTTCGCTTAAAACTTTCTTTATCTTTTTTAAAATATATTATTCTGCAGTTTCAAAAGAAATTATTTAAAAAATATACGTACATATAATCCCCACTCGTTATTAAGTATATGCATACGCTAGACTCTTTCATACAACCACTATTTGAACTTAGTGTACAATTATAAAAGATGAAAGAACGAGAAAAAATAAATATTGAATTTGGGTCATAAAACACAATCAATTTTTTACTGTTTACTAGTGAGAAATCTAGGGTTTGGACGTTTTCATCGTACAACGTTTTGTTGGTTCTTAACATGAATAACTTCTTTATTTGTTTAACTGTTTATCAGGTCGAATCCAGCGAGCCAGATGTATATTACGTCATCTGCGGATACGAATCTAGTTTGGTTCACGCTGTGGAACGCTGATTTACTACAGTCTCCAAATCCTCCCATGTTCCTGTTTTCCAATGACGTCACAACACCGTTTCCCATATCTACAGAAGGTTAATTGTTTTCTGGAATATTAATTCTAGCGTAACATACTGTCGTCGTAAAGGGGTATATCTCATTTCATAAATGGAACCCCCCAACCATCAAGAAATGTTGCAGTCACATATATGTTAACCAAGTACGTATGTTGTATTTATAAAGGACGCTGTAAAATTAAAGCCTTTTGAAGTGGTTAGAAATCGAATCAAGAGGCAAGAAGAAAAAATACAGAAATACTTCAGTGAGAAATGAACCAAAACTATAATTTGTTCATGATGTCTTAAAACTAGATACTCAAATTATACTGTCTTTGCACGGCTACTCCCAGCCATCATGAGTTATTGGCATGATAAGGAAGTGAACATACATGAACTGTTGTACGTATGAGACAAACGTGGATATTTGCATTTCAGTTTTTTGCTGTCCTTTTTCAAAAATACTACTTATAACGTTCTCTAATGAGTATCCTTAAATTCCATGAATTACTACGTTGCATACATCTGAACGCACATTCTTGGGGATTATTTGTCTGTTCATTGCTTTTCAGTGTCATATTCGGACTTACTATCAAATACAGTAAGATGAACATAAACTAACCATTATTGTAAAGTCTGATCCCTCCTACTTTCACCTTTTTATCTATCCCAATGTCTCAAAACGGCCTTTTTGGTATATTGATATTAAAATATAGAGTATTGCCGACGGCCCAAATCGATCTGTAAATGTAAAGTATTTGTCGTTATGCTAAAGCAAGTTTTTCGCTTTAATACTATTGTATTTATTGATGCCGTTGTCTAGTACCTAAGAATATATAATCTTCTTGGACTTTTTACAGAATCTATCCCATCAGGACCTACCATAATTACCTTTGAAGGGTGTTTCTCTATAAGCATATTTGGAGCTACCTTCCTAGGCGAGAATGCAGCCACTATGTCAGTATCAGAGTGTCAGTTACTATGCGCACCACCATACGACCTCATCATTTTAGAGGTAATGTTGCAAATGCTAAGATAACTAATTGTTTTTCGAATGAGCGTATGCGTAGTGAAAAAGGGTTCGGCGGATTGATTCCTGTTTCAAATATGGCGCCGTTCACGCTTCAGCGAGATAACTATTCGATAACAGCCATTGTTCGGTTCCTTCAACATCTAGAAACATGGAACATATTTGGGATTCATTATGTCTGATTATACAACAAAGGGACGGTGGCAAACTTCTTATTTCATGGAAGGACATATACAAATTCTTTCAGAGTAAAGCAAACATTGGCGGCTTCCTTTTGCGACGTTCGACCTAGTCACTACCAGAGCAGTATGTCAATGCGTGTACATAACGAACGTTATAAAGGAATTAAATATGTTCGCAGTGCTAATGTGTTTTTGCTTTGCATAGCATTTGAACATTATTTATGATGTAAATACAAGGTTTGGCCTTCATTTTGACGGCGTATACGGTAGTATGAACGCAGTTACGCGCTCCATAAAGAATATGTTCGTTGTCAACTGCGTTCATACTACCATATACGCCGTCAAAATGTAAGTCAATCCTTAAATGCCATTGCTTCTTGAGCAGACATCCCATAGCAAATAAACCAAATACACATTACTAAATGTTAGATGACACACATTTTCCCACATTCTTAATGGTTTGTTCATAATCACGTGCAGGTCGGTGATTTATGATATTGACTAGGTCTTATTATTTTTAGAATAAAGAACAGGTCAGTTTTCACTCTGTGACGTCATTGCAATTGTAACGTCACAAAGCCCTCTGTAAAATGCAATGAATTCCTCCTGACAATTTTCGTACTTTCTTGTTTATTGATCTAAACATCATATATCATCTTTAATAACAATTAAGGGCTTAATTTGTGAAAGTGATATTGACCTGGACGTAGTTAAGGTCAATATAGCTCTTCCAGGTCCATATAGCAATACCCTAACTAAAGTCAATATCATACATAGGATAAAACTTAACTTGTATTTTGACAACTGTAATGGAAGAAATAACGAAATATCATCAAATGAGACAGATATATGACTTATGTGTTGGGTCAGTGACATTGATATTTTACTGTTAATAATGATTTCAAAACTTATTTGTAAATGTGATAAAAAACAAAAAATGTTTGCAAGACTATTGAAAAACCGTTTTCTTTTTCATACTGAACTTTATGAATGCTTTTGCCACCAAGGCTAATTAAACTAGCACCATTATATTTGAAGATAACAAAGAAATAAAGAAGAGGCCTCAATATTACTTAGCAATTCGTTGTTATTGACTTTAAATTTAATTCTTGATAACAAGGAAGGCCCATAGAGTTGTTAACATACCAAATATTAAATTTCCCTTATTTGTGTCATGATTAAATTAAATAATTGGTGTCATTTATTGCAGATTCAGATAAAATGCCACTGTGCAGTCCAAGGCAGTTTGGTGTTTCCCACCCCCTTCCCTGACAGTACCTGTAATAAGGCGTGCCCGGGCGACCCCTCTCAATGGTGTGGTAGCCTTAGTACCATAGGAGCGGTATACACCTGTACGTCTTTTTTGAAGGTTATATAAAATGCACGCTATCATGGGCACTCTAAACGCTATTCATTCGTTGGAGTTATCATCGATTATTATTTTTTGATTAGCATTATATAATGAAATGTGATAATCAGAGTGGTGAATGAATGCAATATTGTGAACGCTGAAAATTCACTATCACTAGGATCCCAGAACAACCACCATAATGTAACTGAGATTTAAACTCTCTTGCTTGCATGAACAAATATTATGAATATTTTTTAAAAGGAGAAACATATTTTTACATAATTTTTATGACAATGAATATTTTAACAACAAAAAACGAAACAGTTTTCATGGGATCAAATACCAGCCATAAAACGTTTACCCTTGTTTATTTTATTAATAGACATTAATATTCATGACATAAATTATACATAGCCTACCTTATTATGAGAAATTTTCACTGTATAATTGATATTGTTGTGTATTTTATACAGTATTAATGTAAACAAGAAACACTTACACTTATGTACGTATTATCTTCCTTTAATGTGAAAATATTGTAAACCAAAATGTCATATCATGACAATGAATAATACCAATGGATACGATAACGATGTCCCAAGGAAACACAAAAGCGACATTCTATTTTCATAATAATAAATGCTAATCTTAAAGATACGTGATAGGATATAGAAATCACGTTTACTACAGATAATTTTTGTAATAGACGAAAATTAATCAGAACACCTTAACTTTAACACATGATCCAATCAGACGCTACAGGTCTAAAAAGTGCATGCAAAAGAAAGCAGCGATGATAGACATGCCAAGAATTGAAAAATATATTACGTTTCATCTACCTAAACCTGTCTATGACCAGGTGTAACTAAGTGTAAACATCGATATTTGCACGCGTGTAACACACGTGTTTTATACGTAATAAGCAGTTTCAATGGGTATGAGAGACCCCCTGGCATGGTATTTTGACGCCGTGCCATTCAAATAGGACGTCACAATAGAGCGACAACAATTACCTGGTGACATATACAAATTTGTGGCGGTGAAATAGAGGCCTTACGAAAACCTTACGTTTCCGTTCAGGTATAGTTAAGTGACTGAAAAGGACGTTAAATGAGTGATGGTAGAGAAGGATTCCACAAATAATGTAGGTTGTTTATCATAATTATCTAACTCTTGTGAATTATTTTTAATTTTCAAAAAACCCCAGTAGACCTCGTGTCTTTCTGAAAGTTGAAAATTAAACAACTCGAGTTAACCGTCACTCATTGTGGAATCTTTATATGTCGACAGGTATTATTTCGAAGGAAATGAACCTTTCTTGGAACATTCGGTACCAACAACTTCAAGCAGAAAGTGTTTGATTCGGATAAAGAAATGTCGACAGAAATTTGAGCCTTTTATTTCTTTTTTTCGCGCACGCAAGTTAAAGAGGGACGCGAATACCTTTCCACCAAAATCATGATTTTGTCATATATTTTATATGTAATGTGCTTTGGGAAATGAAGTGCCTCGCACTGCATGCTCGTATTTAGTGACAAATGTGTGCCCCGGCAAGATCTATGATTCCCTCAAACTTAACTACTCCCAAATTCGCCCATATCGCTCCCCTTTACAGGTAGATGACCAATAAAGAATGTACCCCTGAATGACTGTAAGAAGTGAATAGTGTTTGAACTCCATGTGGAATGAGATACTATCTTTTGTATCCTCTACTGAGAGACACGAAAGAAAGAAAAAAAGAAAAGAAAATTGCGCATTGATTGTAACACTTGTTTTACTTAAGTTCTGTCCTACTTTTTTCATTTCTTAATACATTTAATCGCAATAGTTTTCAGTTGCTGAAAAGAGGAAAGCTCCGAGTACTGTTCCCAGATAGAGACATATTAAAGTTCTTAAACCTGTTACTTTCTACTATCTGGCCTAAAATTGGAATTGAAGTGGGTGGGCAATGACTGGTTAGCATGATGCCACAATAATGTGACTGGTTAACATTTCTTGCATCATCGTATCCAGCTGATGTAAAGTTTGCTGAAACTCTTCAATAACCCCGAGCAGCTCAAACATCGTAGAAAAGGTCCTTTTTATTTGTAGCACGGACCAAAATATTGACACATACAATCGAATCTCAAGTTATATCCCCAATTGCTTCCATCTCTTGTCCACTCGAAAATGTCTTCTTGGGCATCTCTTATTTGCCAATTAACTCCCTGGGAACCCCTAGTTTACATCTTGTCTCCATATGAACCCCTGGTTAGCATTTTGTGTCTCCCACCATACAATGTACCTCTTTATAGCTTGTTGTCTAGCTTGGCACCCTGTTTAGTTTGTTGTCTTTCAGGGGTTTGGTTTAGTATTGTTTAACGTCCTATCAACATGGTCATTTAAGGACGGCCTCCCCTGTGTGCAAGATACATGCGTGTAGTGTATGCGTGCGTGTTTTGGGAGTCTGCGATAATATCGTGTTTGTCTCCCTGTGATAGCGCGGAACTGATGCCGACTTTATAGTGCTATCTCAGTGAAACATACTGCCGAGGACACCCAGCAGGACACCCCAACCGGTCATATTATACTAACAGACTAACCAGACGTCCCACTCCTAAATTGCTGAGCGTTAAGCAGAAGTAGAAACTACCATTTTTTCAGACTCTAGTATGTCTCGGCCAGGGGACTGATCCCAAAGCCTTCCTCACAGGGACGAACGCTCAACTAAAGGCCAAAAGTGAGGCATTGTCAAGGGAGACATTAGGAAGAAGAAAGTTGTTTAGAAAGAAGAGAAAAGATAAGATCCCAAATTTAATCGAATCTTATGATCATGCAATGGGGGCAGCAGGTACGATTCTTACGCCCTACCTGCAGGGACTGTTTTTCTGGGTACCTCTGGTTATACTGTTATCTCCATGAGAACCCCTTGTCATTCTGTTTTTTCCCTAGGTGCGAACCCCTGGTAAGACAGTTGTCTCCCCCTGGGCATCTCTAGTTAAGCAGTTTACATTCTGCTGTGTTAGTTGTAATGCTATCATGTTGAATTCGTGGCCTCATTATGTATGACGTCCTTATCTCCAGTTAAACATCTATTGGATATTTCGTCATAATAACAATCGGAACCCAGTGTACATTTATCTCCTTTCTATTTCCAGACTCGCAAGGAACCTCATTGGTTACAGTACCGACCTACTCCGATGTACAGGGCATAGTTACCATTACAGAAACACTGTACGCAGGAAATAACGAAGTACAAGTAAATATTTCAAAACAATTGTATTGTTTCTACACGGCCAAAAGGAAATTTATGATCAGAATATATATAGTTTATATACCGAATCCTAATATTTTTCTAAATTTGATAAACAAGAATGCAATTAATTACTGCAAATATTAAATATATACGTATTCCTTATGAAGGAGTTTGATCCAAAGTGTCCTATTCAGACATGTTTCAAATTTTGCTACTAATAGCCCTCCACCACTGGGTCGCGGGTTCGAGACCTGTGTGGGGCAGTCGCCAAGTACTGGCCGTAGGTCGGTGGTTTTTCTCGGGGAACTCCGGCTTTCCACTCCCACCAAAACCTGGCGCGTCCTTAAACGACCCTAGCTGTTTAAATGACGTAAAACACAAACAAATCAAACTAAAAATCAGACATGTGTCACAGGAATATTCTTATCACTGCACAATGTGATGTATCAGAACCTTTTGTCTATACAATACCTTGAGTGGAGGTGCGGTACTAAAACATATTTTCGCTTCTTAACTCAATCCTATAAAAAACGTCCACTAAACGACGAAAGTAGTCCCGCATTTATCAATTTTATAACGAGAATATCTGTGTCAATTGACACTCTCCAAATAACATGAATTTGACAGAAATTTGTCAAAACATGTCTTATCAATGTTTATATTTCATAATTTATTGAAATATGTTCCATGCCTCAACGTATAACACATGTTGGCGGTTGGCAAATCTCTAACGTGATAAAAATTCCATAGAGCGTTTTCGGGTATACTCTGTATTTTACCACTTCTGTCTTTTCATGTACGCACAACCTTAATGATATTGACACCTTAATATTTTGTGTGTTTGTTGACAGGTTGACGTGACCGGACATTTAGGGGATTCGTCAAATGCAGGCTTTATTATCAGTATGTCCGTGGAAGTGGCACCCTCTACCACCTACACTTTAGACTACAGTAGCCAGCCATGTTCGTCAAACAGTAGAAACACACTGGATCCTGTATCGGGCTTAGCTATGGTAATTTTATAGGACTTATTCAAGCAAAATTAACACTGTTGTGATTAAATCTGAAACCAGGGATCAACAGTAGGTCAGTCTTCAGTTACACGTATCAATATTGTGAATGTTATGAGTTTCAGTGTTTCCTTCTGAATAGTACTTTCCATTGTAAGTCACGTAGTGGCTCAATTTGTGTCTTACCATTCATGAATCATAAATATTATTTACAATAAAGGAGAAACTAATGTAAAATGTAACTGAAATATAAACTAAAAAGTAATAAGAAAATGGCATGTGAAAAAATCATACCGAAACGTTGGAAAAGGGGCAAAGAGAATGAGGGCATGTGTTCAAGAAGGTTAGACGTCTTTGATTTTTAAATATTGGTCCAATAGAAGTAATGTCACGATCTTAATGTGAGCAAAGGAATAGTACAACAAACGCATAAGGCACGCTCTTGACCATAATAAAATGTCGACAGTCATATAAGTCTAGGGTTTCATTAACTACCTTATTATACAATTTAATAGCAATTAATAACTGACATTTACAATAAACGATCATATAATGTTGCCAACATATCATATTATAAGATGCGTGTCTGAATTATACATAAACTAGGTACTTTTGTACCCATACTATATCGTATACAACTATCAAGCGCTTTACACAGTTTACATGCTGTCATATATTTTCCACTTGTGCGCACCCACAATAGCACGTACAAACACATTGACCACTCCGCCTACTAATTACTAAGTGTAATTAACATGTTTACCACAATTAAAACAGTTCTACATTCTCTGGTAATAGTTATACAATAAATATTTCTAATTATTTACTATAATTTATAAGCTTATTTGCATCATTCAAAAACTCAAATACCGTTAATAATAAATCCACTTACGTTCTGGTATGAACGCTCAATCTCCCACACACTCACTTACGCTCGCGCACACCACGTGACATATAATCACACATATTAATCTTACAGTTAAAAATCATAAACATATATATTTACGAGGATACGTAAAATTCAGTATAAACCAAATCCATAGTTGTGGTTATCGTAACTGATTGAATAAGAAATTATTCAAAATAAAAATAAAAATCAACTAACAATCATCAAATGAATCATTGCAACATTGTATTGCAATTTACAATAAATCTTTTTATGATAATATGCAATCACCTGATTCTACTATCGCCAGGTTTTGGACAAGCTATGTGTGTATAGCCTAACATCAGGAACTAATTTAAGCAATAGGAGTTTGATTTAGAGTGGCTTTACATAAATCAATGTGTTTCCATTGTTCAAAAACGATCATAAAAAGAATAATGTAAATTGATTGAAATAAACGAAGTTTTATACTGATTTCAATAACTTACTGATTACACTTCGGAATTAGATTTATCGGCTTTGTATGAACAATGTATGATAAATATGTTTTTTGTTCAAAACAATTTGGCATACATCACTAATTACAAGCTGAATATATCCACCACTCCGATCGGTAAACGAAGACTTAGGAATGAATGAAATATTAACTCCGAGGTTCACCGTGTCTTATCAACAATCTCAACGTAGATAACAAAATCTGAAATCATAGAAACAATATCATTACATACATAATATACTAAAACTACATAGTCCACGGAATGGCAGTATGCATTCAATGATGCTATACTGAATAATTCTTTTTTTACCTTCTAGCCTTTTCCAAGTGACGGGACAGTAATTAACACAGGAATACTAGAAGTGAGATGTATGTGGTTTGTTTTCGCCAGTGTTGCTACCAGTACAATGAGTGCAAACATCAAGCTGTACCATCAGAGCGGTATTTGTCTTATTTCTTCTTTGATATCATGAAGTAGATTACTTGAAAAACAAATCTCCATTTTTCACGGTGACGCAATACAAACCATTCTTAAAGCAAAAAATAGACGTAGGTAACATTATAAGGGGTTTTACAGAGATATGTTTTCCTCACAAATATGTAGGCATAGATATATGCCTACATATTTGTGAACACTTGATTTTTCATTCTTTTGACATTTAGTACCGTTCCACTGGTGAGTGACAATATAGTACAATACAATAGAGTTTTTGCTTTGTTTTCGCTTCCTGCTTCGACATTTTAATATTTTTATCTATTTATATATTGATATAGATATTTTTTATAATTATCGCTTTATTATTTTGCTTATGTCATATTTAGCTATATCGATAATGTTTACTTATGTATATTGTATTGCAGAGTCGAAGTTTATCCGAGCTCCACACATAGCAGTGCATGTTGTTCATGAAATAGGTTTGTATTTCATGTCTGAATATCAAAATACGACATGCACTAATATATTCAGCACATTGTAGCTTTAAATGATATCAAACATTATTTTTTGTGCCATCGGTAATATTTCTTGTTGAATTAATAAAGATGAGTATCTATACCAAACCTATCAGACAGGGGTACTTTTTTCTACTGTGATCATAACATAACGATCAGTTTTGACATGTCATGTTTTGCCTTTCACTGCTGTTTTGAATTTGCATGTGACCTTTATTGCGAAAAGAGTAAAACAAAACAAAGAAAAACAACATTATACCATGATAACAAACATTTAAACAATATTTCTTTTGTCTTCAAGAAACTACAACAATGGAGGTGACCACTACAACAACCACAACAACCACAGCTCTTACCACTACAACTACAACTGAAACACCAACAACTACAACTGAAACACCAACTACAACAACCGATGCTCCGGCGACACCTGCTACAACTGAAGCAGCGATGACAACTACTACCTCCGAACCAACAACAACACCTGGAGCAGAAACAACCTCGGCAGCAATGGAAACAACTACTACTTCATCCACGGCAGAGACAACCACATCAACCTCCACATGTCTCTGTCATTGTTTTCGAAACACAACAATATCTACAGCACAACTCGACCACCTTGTCAAAACGTTACAAGATAATCTCAGAGTATCCCGGACAGAACTATCATCTTATGTTCGTACGAAAACAAGCGCAAGTGATGACAGGATATCCGCAAAAAGTTTGGGAAGTTTTGGAGCTGCAATCATAGCCTCTGTGTTCATGTGTGTTATCGTTATTGATTTTGCAAACTTCATGAAATTTGCTAAAAAACCAAAAGTAAACCCCAAACCTTCTCCAACTGAACCAGAAACTAAAAATGAAGAATTTCCTAATGATTAGCTTTTATTGTGCTGGGTTTTCTGGCCTTTGAATTATTACTAGTTTATCACTTAAGATAATACTTTTATTGATATGTCTTAGTCAAGACCAACACGGAACTGAAAGTTGTCAGTTTGAAAGATTGATTTCAATATAGATGGTTGGCTCCCTTGTTTACGAACTAGTATTGTGAGCAATGAAGTGGAACGAAGAGACAATACATAATGAAGCTATCTAAGGTGTATTTCACAGTAATATTGATTTGTATGAGGTCATCAACGATATACAGGGCTACATATAAACTTTTGTGTTTGAAATAACAGAAAGCGATTAATTTTAACATGATTTATTGATCGCAAGAATAAGTTGGATTGAACAGAAATCATAGATTATACTAGGTGAGAAACAAAGACAGCTGTTACCAAATATTTACTTATTAACACAATTGTCCTCTGAGGAATCAATACTTATTATTCTGATATTAATTAAGGTTTTATTCTTAAAGCACTATGTAGATTACATATATATAATGGGTTTATGTTAATCAACGACCAAAGAAGTCAACCCCCTATTAGTTTATAACTAAATTGATAACAAACTTTAATACCAGGGGAGCTTCCTTTTCTTACTCATTCATTTTTTAGTTTTTATTTATCTCAATTAAAATGAAATCACAATTCGCCTGGTTCATTATCGAAGTCCTTTAAATGCGGATTGACAGGTTCCGTTATTAATAACAAATGAAAAAATATGTACCCCACATTGAATATACATGTTAACCAACGCACCTAGATACATTATCATGCACAGAGAGAGAGGGTACAGCATATATTTCTGCGTTTTAATTAAGGAATACAATATTTGTATGTGTGTATAATTGTATTGAAGATGATGATTTTAATCGCTTATTTAATATGCCTCATGTTGACAATTTGGAGTGGAATTTGACCTGTCCTGTAGCACATGTATTTGCTAGAAAATGTATGCATGGTGCACAGCTTCGATTTAATTTTAATTTTTTATAGTTATCAAATGCGTCTATCTAATCCAGGGTAATATGTGTAGGAGCATTTTATTCGTTAACATATCATATTAATTAGATATCACTTGTGTATGGTTGGCATTGAATCATGCTGCTTTATAATATTCAATTTACCGTATAGCGACACGTGTGCATAGGCATAACTAAAACAATGAACTGATGTGTCTATTTGATCAGTTGACATAAGTCGTTGACTTATATCAAGTTCAGCTATCCTGTGATCTATTTAAGCGCACTAGCACGTGTATTGTAGATTTAGATAGTATGGTGGTTTTTTTACTTGCCAGCATTCAAATAATGTGTTTACCCTCTATTACTTTTTGAGAATCATTAAGTTTGGTAAGTGTGTCTCGTGTATAAACGTTGATTCTATAAGAACCACGTTTTAACTTAACTCGATAGGCTAGATTCTATACTGTATATACAAATGCAGTTTTGAATTCATCGCGAGCGAGTTAGGCTTTTATACATTTTTTTAAGTATATTGATGGTAGAATGAAACGTTAAATTTTCAATTAGTTTACATATACCATGTATCATAAAAATATCATTTACCCGTAAACGCAGTTGTCTCTCTTTCACTCTTGCCAGGTTTCATTATTCTGCAATAGTGGAGAAAAGCACCAACTTAACTTCATAATGTCCTCATCAAATGATTTTTTTAGTTCAATTATTGTAAAACCTATAACTAGATTACATAGAAAATTTCTTTTCAATATTATATATATAACATCAATTCAGACATTCTAAAATGCTAAGCGATTGTTCTATTGGTATGGACTTAATTACATATCCGTTTGCATAAAACATTAAATATATCAATCTACAAAATGAAAAGTGATTGTGTTACACAATAAGTAGTGACGTCATGTTCATGCTTTTAAGTGTGGAACAGGTAATAACTCTGACAACACTATTGAATGGTGCCAACTATAGGATTTTTTCTAATGTTATTCCTCTGACGATCAATGCAAAACGCACAATACTCATCGATGATCGATCACATATCTATTTATTGAATATGGGGGTTGAAGGGAAGCTGTTTGTATTAATTTAAGAGCTTTATAAAATACATATTTACAAGTAGATACTGTTGTTTCCACAGACATGACAATTAAATTACAACACGAATACCTACATCTACATTTCAAACAATATTGTTTGTCATCATGATGTGAATATATACCTTATAATGATATTAACATTTCAAAGTTTGTTTTTATACATAGAGTTATGTGCTTTGCTATTTAAAACTAGTAAAATAACAAAACACGCTACACTTCCTGTACAGACAGAAAATATTGAAAGAACAACAACGGGAAGATAGACGTTACCAAAACGGGTGGTGAAGTGGTGAAGTGGATAGCGCACTTGCCTTTCACCAAGGTGGCCTGGGTTCAAATCCCAGATCCGACGTGAAAAGGTTGCGGTCACCTGCCCGACCACGTGGGTTTTCTCCGGTTACTCTGGTTTCCTCCCACCCTAAGACCTCCACGCGCTAACATCCGGGCCAACAAGAGTGATTAATATCAGTTTAAATAATTTGTTTCATAATTGTTGTAAAATAAATAAAGTTTATATTTTATACCAAAACAAAACGGCAACGTTAAATGGGAACGAAATCAGATCGTATACATAGTGTAATATTCTTCCATCAAGGGACACAAGACGGCAACGATATTTCTGCGTTGCAGATTGAAACCAATTCGACTAAATTATAAACTCATATGGATAAATTTAATGATTAACATGCTACAACTATCCAGACTTTTGATACATAAAAGTTATTATAAGATTATAAGTTTGCCAATATTACAAAATAAACTAGAAGTAAATGGAGTTATTCCTTTAAAGTAAAACCAAGGTGACGTTACACGTACATTAGCAGCTACTCGATTGAAATAATGTTTGATACAAAAATAAAAACAACTGATACAAAAAATGTCAATGTGTTTAAATCTGGTAAGAGCGACTATACGTCCTTGCAACAAAAGGCAATAATGAGACCCGAGAAGATACTAAGAAAACACAAATAAAATATTACAACGGTCGAACCAACGTATGTAAGACTAAATGTATATCAAAATGTCCTTGCAATAAATGATACAACATATCTATCAACAGTCAGTTTCGATCCTAGCTCTCGGGCTTAGCTGATCATCAGGGGTTAGACACGGGGGTAAAAGCGTTCAATGTCGTACATTATGCACCTGGCTAGATGTCTCCTTTCTCGGTAGATATGACACATTTAATAAACATGTCATCATTGAGTTTTTCCATTTATTGACTGAAAATTGCAAAACATTATTTAACGACAACAATATTCTTTTTAATGCAAGTTGTCTCCCATCTCATGTGTATTTGTCCAAAATTCGACAATATTCCACCGGAGTGGAATAGCTTAGACTAAAAATTTCTGTCGAGAGCAATAAATTGAATTATTATAATATGTGTTCCTTTCTGGTTTAATCACTAATTATATTCAATTTGTGTATCAATATACCAGAAAGGAATAAATATCTATGACAACATTTAGTTACTAGTAGGTTAATAAACATGCATATGCATGCTTCAGAGTTTTTAGCATCAGTAACGTTGTCTTGTTTCAAATTAATCTATTTGGTACATTTATGTTTTATTCATCATGATGAAATATTTGCTTTGTATGTAATATATATGAAACTACAATGATTTTTATATTTAATTATTAAAATTTAACTTTTTAGCGAATGTGTTGCTCATATTATTGATAAAGATATACTAAGAAACATTATTTAAACATTCATTATGGCGTTGCAGAGCGACATATAAGATGAACAGCTGTTGCTGCATCACGTGACCATTTCGTCCAGTTAGGTCTCGTCATTGGTACTCGCAGTCAACAACAACAAAATGAAAATCAGAAATATTCCGGAACATATACAGAATAACAGGGTAAGGGAAAAGGTGCCTATCAATTTTGTCAAGATTCCACAATTTTTTTTAACTAATAAGAAACATACTTGAACATGCATATCAAAAGGAAATTTGCAGGCAGTGTGGTAAACATATCTTAATGAAAATATATAGTTTGTTCAAGAATGTTCTCAAAGATTGCTTTAGAAACAAAAATAAATGCTTAACTTTGATTTTTTATGAGATATATTCAAATTCGCTGATATTACAACTTTCAACTGTAATTTTGATTTTTATATAAAATAAATAAAATCTTGGTTAATTTATCGCCATAAAACGTTTCCTAATACCAGGTATTTACAGAAATTATTAATTCATCTAATGCAAATAAGTTTCATTCAAATATAACTAACGACTCAAGTGCTGCCTCTCCATGAGACTCCATTGTAGACGAGAGGTGCAGACGACAACAACATCAAACGTCTAAAACTTGAAGCGGTAATCGGACCGGACTGTGTTGAAGACCCGGATGCGGGCTGATATATCCGGAAGCGGACTGATATCACCGAATGCGGGCTGATATCGATAGGTTATTACACGGGCGGACACTATCGACAATTGGAATTATACAGTATCACATATGTAGTTTGGTCGATATTTCAAGCAAGTGTATGATAAATGGTATTAGTCCTTCGTTTGGCTGATCCAAACAGAGGTCAGAAAGAAATTCCATGATATGGAAGTTAGGGAAAATCTGTTTTTTTATCATATCATATCGTCGTTATTCTAAAATGTCCTTCAATCACATAACAGTGCAGTCTTCGCTATTGTAATCGTTCTGTCCGGCATTTTTTTATAGCATTTACCGAAAAGAGCCTGACATGTTCAACATATAGCGTTAGGTATTATAAAAAACTAAAATAAGGTCTTTGTATATTACTTTATATCGGCATTATACAGAATTGCTTGATCTTTATTTGTTACCTGGTTCTCTATAAAAATAGTAATAAAAACAAGTTTGACTGTTTTCCTGGTAAAATCAATACAAAATATAGGCAACCAGGAAACAGTTGCACGCGACTGG